CATGGGCTTTCCTGGTGAGCAGCAAGGAGCTAACACAAGGTTTGCGCATCTGTGTAACCATCACAGATTTGTTTGAGGGAAAACAAAGATTTAGTAACAGTGAGGAAAGTGGACTAAAGTAGAATACAAAGTAGAAATAGACAGGTATGGTCTGCTAGATGGAAGCCATGGCATCAATCCCGGGGTGAGCAAAAGTTAGGATGAAATAGGAGAAATGAATTCAAAATATATTTCTGAGACAAAATCTACAGAATTTGTTGGGAACCGCCCTGCCTGGTTTCAGGAGCTGTAACACCCCCATGGCTATGACTAAGTAAGAGACCTTGGGACCATACGCCAGTAAGGAGACAAAGCTTATCTTTCTGGCAGGGGTGATGTCTCTGCCCCCTTTCCTTCACTGTGCCTGGCCCCCAGTGCATGACAGGTTAGCCAATGACTGGTAAAATTCCTCAAGGCAGGGATGATCTAAGACAGGTGCAGTCACAGGGAACCCTCAGGAAAGGACTTGGGGGACTATAGTAAAAGGGGGTGATGGACCCTCACCCCTCAGCTTTGACATAGCCTGAGTCCTCATTCTGTCTTCAAGAAGTCTCCTAACCTTTTGGCTGCCTTACTTCCCCTGCCTGGCTTAAGCCTGAAACAATGACAGAGGGCGGTGCAGCCCTGTGCTGGAAAGGGCAGGTTCCCCAGGGTGCTCAGGCCTAAGAAAGAATGCATAAAATCCTGTGAAACCTGCTTTGCTAAGTAAGAATGCTCTCAATTTTCTGATAAGGGTCTAATCAGGAAATGAGTTTGTTCCCCAAAGTTTTATAGCCCTTTAGCTAACTGACCCTGACTCAGAATAAGCCCTCATAGTTCTTTTTTTTTTTTTGCTCATAGTTCTTATATGTCATCTATTGTTTGATCCTTACTGCCTGACAATGATTGATGAGCTTTACCTGTATTCCTGTGCAAACTGAACCCAGTAAAAGTCCTTTGAGGAAAAGGCTCTTGGCCCTTCTCATTTGAGAGATCAGCCACCTTTCCTCCCCAAGCAAATCATGTCTTGGTAGACTTATACTCATCTGTGGCCAGGGAGGACCCTGTGGGCAGAGCCCCCCTTCCCAAATAATTGGCAAGTAATTGTGTACTTATGCTTGTGTGTGTATGTTGTGTGAAAGTAGGTGGAGAGAAAGCAGGAGTTGAAGATGTGCCTGATTTTTCCGGGTTGCTGTAGTTGTTGTTTGCTTAGAGGAGACTGTCTGAGCAGATGTGGATGACAGAGAATTCATGAAGGGGAATATAATAACAAGCAGGGGCAGAGGAAAAGGGTAAGACAGTCATTCATTTTCTTCTTAGACATCTTAAGCTTCCAGTAACTATTGGGTAGTATTACACAGAGACGACCCAGCAGTATGAATCTCAGAGAGATTGTTAAATGGAGACACAGACTCTAAGGCCATCAATATGTGAATGGTATTTACAATCAAAAGAGTAGATAAGGTCCCAAAAGGAAGGGAGAAGCCAAGAGAGAAAACCGGGGGAACAAAGTTTTAAGAAATAAGCAAAAAACAAGGATATGCTGAAAAATTAACCAGAAAAAAATAAAAGAACCAAGTGATGAGGTCTTAAAACCCACGGAAAGGAAAGGTTTGAAGAAAGAAAGTATGCTTCACAGCTCAAATGTGTTATCTCAGTACAGCACATGGGGCTTTATATCCTTACACCAATTTTACCTACGAGGAAAGCAAAGCCCAGAATGATCACTGACTGTCAGAGTTCTCATGTCAGTAAGGGGCACAGACAAAAGGTGAGCAAACTACTATCCTAAGACAGTCTTTTTTCCTCTAAATCTATTGATTCTTCAGCCACACTCCATTTGATGACCTAAAAGCTTCAATTTCTAAATTTACCCTAAATAAAATGCAAGTAATTCCTCCCCTTAGGATCCATAATCAATAACTCATTCATCCCTTCCTGATTCTGCCACAATCTAACCGCTTCTATTTCTTGACAACCAGCCTGCCACCCCAAGTCTGTCTGTTCCTCATGCTCTACCTGAGATATGCCCTCCACCCGCTTCCACAGTTTGTGTTCCTGACCACCTTCCAGGAACTACATATGCATATACATGTACGTATACATATACATATACATATACATATACATATACATATACATATACATACATACACTATATATATATATATATATATATATATATATATATATATAATTTCCCCATTGATTAACTCTGACCATTAGGAATATTCCGTTGTTCTGGGCTCTCTTGCCATTATTCATACAGATACAAAGAATTTAGTTTTCTTTGTTTACTTGAAAACTTTCAAATGTACCTATTCTTTCTTCTCAATCAGCCTGTAAGTTTTTCAAAGAAAGATGTGGCTTTGCAGAGTATGTAAGAGTATGAGTGGGTGTGATGTTAAAAAGTGTGAGTGTGACTGGGCTACCATAGGTTCAAGGATAAAGAATAGATCAAAATAAGCACCAAATGTAAATAAGGTTATTAGCTACTGAAACTTTTAATGTAGTATAACACATAGAGTAAAAGTGGCCAACATATTTCACAGGGAACGGCTCTTTAGCCAGTTTTTTTTATTTTTCTCAGAATAAATTCACTTTAAATAACTATTTAAATAAATTATGTTTTTAAAAGGTTGATAAACATCTGCATTTATATTATCATGTAATACGCATATCAGCAGTATATTGCATAAAATGTTATTGTTCTTTTAACTTCTCCTTCAATATGTATTCTAGAAAACAGGTGCCAGTGTTACAGGTGGCACTGAACTGCCCTGCAGCCCAGTTCATTGCCAAGTCACAGTTCCCTGGCTGCTTTCTGAACCTGCATTTCAAGGATAGAAGGAAACCAGTGAAACTAAAAAGAAAGTCAGATACACAGCCCAGACCAGACATCAGACAATAGGCAGTTATTTTCTTTGGACGTCAGGCATGAAAACGAGTCACAGAACTGTTCTTTCATTATTTCCATACTACTACAACACACATAAATATTCTCAGATTCCTTCTTGTGGGGAAATTTACTTATTTTAAGTAAACAGCAACTGAATACCTATCCACATGAAATGAGCATATGGTGGCTGACTTGGAAAGGGTCCACAGTTAGCTCTTTCTGTTTGAAAGCTCATGGATGAAGTCATAGAATATTTTTTTTACCTTGGACAAACACTTTAAAATCTACCAAAAGCAGAAATACGAGACATTACCAATGTCATTTCCTGCACAGAATTTTGGAAAGAGCTAATGATTTCCTCAGATATTCTATTTAAACTGTATGTGGAGACATAAAATTAGTTGTATGTCTTATTTACATTTCATGAGACTCTACAATATGCCTGATCATGAGATAAACTTTCCACGAGTTATCTCATTCAACCCTCACAACAACCCTGCAAGTGAGTACACGGGTTACTTTAGACTGACATGAGGAAACAAAAGGAGAGAAAAATTATTAAACTGTCCACAGTCATATAGCTAATGGGTAACAGTGCCAGAATTTAAATCCAGACAGCCTGATTGCCACCTGCTTTCTTTAAGGTAAAATATTTTTCCAGTGAAAGCTAAAATAATATAATGCCATATTTTGTAATGAGTAATGTGAAGTTTAAACTCCTATGTTCAATGAAACTAACCTAAACAGGGAACCCTTCTGAACAAAAGTAAATGCAGAAAGAAAGAAACAACTAGGACCCACTGAAATTAACTGCACCTTGCAATGTTTCCAAGAAGAAATGCTACTCCCAATATTCACTAAATAAGTTTGCCATCACCAGTGATTGTTTATCAGTCTTTGACAACACTTTCCTAATTCATGCAAGTAGTGTTAACAGATTTTTTAAAAATTATCTAAATATTTAGGGTATGAAGTAGTGTATTAGTGAGTTATATACTAGTAACCTTAAAAAATAGTTTATTTACCAAACTTGCTATTTTACTGTAAAAGTAAATAGGTTATTAAGAATATGTCACATACTTTTATTTAATCCATTGCCTAAGCTGATTTTCACATTTTGAAGTTCACAAATAAATCCAGAAGAAAAAAACCCACTGCTAAGCACTCAACATAAATCCACCAGAGAAATGTACCCTTTACAATATGTCATTTACAAATTTGTAAGAAGCGAAGACTCATTTGAAAAAATTACATGTATATACCCACACACGCATACATACATACATACCTACAGAGTGGAGCAGAAGTATGTTTACAGTTGTGAGTATGCAAAATGCAAAGCTTATTCTTGTATCATTATTTATTAATTATTGTTTTATTTTCTATACAAACAACTGTAAATCTACTTTCCCCCACTTTATATAACCAGCCATTCTGAAATATTCTTCAAGTTACTGGTCTCTGAATTTTCAGATCCACCATTCATAAGAAGGTTCCATTAGTTAAGCATTAAAAAGCAATTGTTCTCTAAGTCATTTAAATGCAAATACACCAGCTGTTCACATTTTCAAAATTGGAATGTTCTTGGTAATGGTAGAATTTAGAGCACTTAGGATGAGCATTGACATCTAAAGGTATTTAATTCTACTCTGAAATTCAAAAAGTGCTTAGAATAAAGTAAACACTAATAAAAGAATGTGAATAGGGCTCTGGCTGGTGTAGCTCAGTGGATTGAGTATGGATGGGCCTGTGAAGCAAAGGGTCACCGGTTCGATTCCCAGTCAGGGCACATGCCTGGGTTGCAGGCCAGGTCCCCAGTTGGGGGCATGGCAGAGGCAACCACACATTGATGTTTCTCTCCCACTCTTTCTCCTTCCCTTCCCTTCTCTCTAAAAAAAACAAATAAGTAAAATATTTTAAAAAGAATATGAATAGGAAGATACTACTAAAGAAAATATTTTCTTTTAATTTCACACGGGATAAATGGTAAAAGATTAAATAATAGCATGAGGAAATTTAACTAAGTAGGCTGAAAGCATTAAAAAATATTTTTTTCTACTTATCATTAGAAAAATTTCCTTACCATGTACTCCATATTCGATGCTGTAGGGTACACCTGACTTCGTAATTTATTATGAAGGTCCAAGATACTCTGCATGTCATTGTCTGTGATGGCCCTTTTCCCTCTTTGCTTGGCGGTCCACCACTCGCCATCCTCGTCCATGTACTTTTCCAAAAGTTTTTCCAATAAAGTGGCATTAGGAACTACCATGGCTGGAATGGCTGTAGCCATGAATAGCAGCACTGTGGTCGCTCTGAGCCACTCCCGTACCGTATGCTTCATAATGAATGACCTCAGGATCTCCCTGGGAAAATCTCCAAGACAGGCTCTTCCACTCCTTTGGGCTAGAATGACATGCAGTGTAATTAATGTGACAATCTAGGCAGATATTAATTTTCTGGTAATAAAAGTAAAACAGTTACAAAGGGAATGTGCCAGTTTGCTTTGTCTATGTACAATGCCAGTGAATAAACATGTACTTTGGAAACAATTAATGCCCCTTTTTCCTCCAGAGGACGGAATACAATGTGCTGTTTCCACAAAAAGGGACAATATAGTTTCCAAGATAATAGGCATGAGGTCAAAAAGAAATGGCAAAAGTAGCTCCAAAGTGTCAATGCTTGAAAATAATTCCTCAATTACAAGACTTTAAATGGCTATAACTACAAACTGCCTGCAAAGGGCCTTACCTGCCTAGAACGTTTTATAGCAATCAGAGGTCCATGTTACTCTGTGTTCTAAAGCATTATATTTATCCCAGCGTCCTATCTCCAGGTCACAGACATTCAGAATGTCCGCACCACTCTGAAATTCAGGTGACTATTTTAAAGAAGTACAAAATGTTATTCGTACACACACCCATTGGTTGGTAAGACCAGGGAGCACAGGGAACGAATGCGAAGGAGTGGTTCGGTCCCTGGAGGAATTCCCCTCTTTCCCAGACACAAGCCAAAAAGAACTCGATCATTTTTCCTAGGAAGTGTGCCTAATTTGTCGGCCCGCACCCGACAGAATGGACAATTCACCCGCAAACTTCAGAGCTTTTCCGGCCACAAGCCACAAGCGCACACACTGCTCACTTTACTCAAAAAGAAGCGCGTGTCAGAAGACCGGAGTGAAACTCAGCCACTTACAAGAACCAGCTCCCCGTAGTCTCCATCACAGCTGCTTTCCAAGCAGCTCACCCACCCTCGAGTCTGACCCTGCTCTGCAAACCGCTTTTATTTTAAAGCAAGGGTTAAGGAAAAAGAAGGTAGCTGAGAAAAGGAGGATGCGTGAGGACTCAGCGATGAGTTTTAGAAATGTCTACCTCTCCAGTGTGGAGTTCCCCTTCGAAAGCAGAGTCCAAGGAGCCTAGCCGACCGTCCTCCTGCCCCGGCTCCACAAGCCACCGCACACAGTCCTTCGGGAAGGACCCGACACAGCGTGTCCAGGGCGACCAGGGCGCCGACTGCAGTGAGATTCGAGCCTGGGCCTCTGCGCTTCCCTAGGACCTGCACGGAGTGGCAGGCAAAGCGCTTCAAAGTTGGATGGAGCCTGCCGTTGGAGAGCAGAGTAGGCCTCCTACTTAGCTGGACTGTGTGCGCTGTAGCCTCTCCGAGCACTTTCTGCAGGAGCTGGGGGCGGGGACAGCATCAGACCCCGGGCAGGCCAGCGGCGACCTGAAGCTCGCGCGCGGTTAGTCTATGGTGCGCGGAGCCAGGCGCCCAGAGCTTCCGCCGCTGCTCCTGCCCAGGGTATTTATTAAGGTCCCTGAGCGCGCACGTGACTCGGACGCCCTCCTGTCCCACCCCCAATTCTCCTTGTCCTGGACCTGCTTGCTCTGAGAGAGCGTGGAGCAGCCACCTGCCTCTCCAGGGTCTGGCAAAGCCAGGACGCATGGCTTCTGTGGGGACCCTGTGGGAGGTGTGTGCAGAAAGAGCCCCAACTTCTCCCTCTCCTCGCGACTCCCCGCCTCCCGGCTACTTCCAGATGAGATGCTAAAATGGCTTTAAGAACCGTTAGAGAAAGGGGCTGCTCCCGTGGTGCTGGCGGAGCGCTTGCGGCGAGGTGGCTTTAGCCCTTTCCTGTTTGCAGACGCGGAAGGGAGCTCGGGGTGAGAGTGAGGAACGGTGAGAGGGAGAGGGGAATGGGGAGAAGAGGACTTTTCCTTTGATTTTCCCCAAGGGATCACTTTTGTTTCCAAGAGCTATTGTGTAAAATTCAAAAGTTGTCGTTTTTGGCTTCTTTAGACCTTGATGGTGACCAGATGGGGAAGGATTTTCATAGAAAGAGGGGTGATCTGTGACCCAGGATTGTCTGGCAATTGAGGGCCCCACTTCATCCATAAAGCATAATGGCATTAGCTTCCCAAGGTGAGCACTGCGCTTTTTCCTTTTCCGATGATAGAGGCATTCATGGAGTCGAAATACAGTGTATCCTCAATCTATTTTTCACGGCTATGTGGACAGGAGTTCAAAACCCAAACCCAGAATTGATGGTGAAATGAGCGAATGAGTTTCCTTCTTTTTCATGCTATAATTGAAGTAGCAAAATTACTCACTTGAAATTTACAAAGACTCACCCTACTGAGTGCGGTATGGCTTCTACGGGCACATTTTTAAAAATTAACACACATTTAATTAATTTGCCTTTGCTTCCATTCTGTAGTAAGCCATGATCTGAATTTTTTTTATCTCTAAGTGCTAGAATGTGATCAAATATGCACCGTGAGAGTAACTCCCAAATCATTCCAAACTGCTGCCTGTCTCCACCATCCAATTATACTTTCATCAAACCTAAAAATTCAGATCTAAGCATCTGGTGACTATGAAAACTTACTTCTGAAAATCAAGAAAAGTGTAATGTCACCTAAGAGAAGGGCTCAGATGTAAAAGGTTTTGGTGACATAGTATTTTCACAAAAAGTGTAATTTTAAAATTTCATAGAAGCTTAAGCACAAGAAGACTTGTTTGTATTTCACAAATAATTATTAATAGCCATCTTGCACAGGGTTCAGAAAACTGGCTTTTTCTCTTGAAAAGTGATGGAAGACCCCAAAGTTTATGATATAAGAGCTATCATTTATCATAGAAGATGAAGAACATGTTTCTATACTGCAGTTTTAATAGGTATTTTAAAGTATACTGAGTATCAAAACCATTAAAAGTTAGTAACACTACTTAAAACACTTTCAAATAGGATATAATATAGGAAGAAGGCAATTAAGATGATGAACAAATGAAATTAAGTGCATTGACTCATGAATGTTTCCATTATCAACTTTGTATATATTTTATACACATTATATATCAGACACCTACAGGCTTACGTTAATGAAAATAAGTTTTGGTTAATTCTAAACCTTTTCCTAGGCAAGCATTAAAAAAGTTTGTATTTCTTGTCGTAGTGTTCCTGTTTGATTCCAATACGGTACTGCAGGTCATACGTTTAAGTGAAAAAATGATTTAAACATTCACCACATTAATCATTGACATATCTGATTTAATATATATTCAGAAAATGCCATTTTAAAGAGTAATCAAACAATATTCTCAAATACTCAAAGATGATACCACTCACACTTTTATGTGCTGTTGAGGAATATGTATGCAGACAGAAGAAAACATTTCCACACAGAAATGTGAAAGTGGCACTTTGGTTTGTGGTGAAGGCTGCTAGTTGCAAAGTCAGGGTTGTTTTTAGCATTACTTACTACTTTCTTGTGGCACACACTGGTTGGTTGCCTAACCAGAACCAGCCTTCCGCAGTTTTCGTCTAAGCCCATAGTCCCCAATTTACTGGGGGTGTACACCCTTGCACGGGCCTTCAAACTGGCATCCATAGAAGGTGAGTGTCAGTCAGTCAAAGCGAGTCATCACAATCCTCTGCCAGTGACTGACTTAGCATGGACAAGCCATGCAACCCTAGCTACTGAAAGAAAGCAATGAACTTGAGGGTGAGGAGGAAGGTTGGCAAGCATTTTCTTTCGTGATAAAAAGAGATGCAAAATGAGAAAATGTCCCTTCAGGCGCTGTTTTGTAAGTCTGTGAAATTTAAAAATGCAGGTTTTACTCTGGAAGAAACCCTATCATCTTGGCTGAGCAGGAAGATAGATAGTGTCCTAGTCTTCCTGCCATTGACAAATCATTGATCAGCAGCCTCCATTTTTTCTGGTTTTAAGAGACAGGAAATGTATTCTTTACGCCACAATGACTTGGGTATTCAGTTACCTGCAGATCAAAAATGCCTGATAAATTTTTAGAAATAAGATGTTTTTCTGTGGAGATATCATATTTTTGCCATGCTGCTGCTGCTATTATTTTCTGCTCTTGTGCACACTTAACAGTTATCTTTAAATATATTCACAGGTGTGTTTTTTATCTGTGCACTTGCAAAGGTGGCTATGTATTCATCTTTAGGCACTTCATCCACTGTATATTGGCATGACCCCAAACCTTAGCCGCAAGCCTGTTCTATGACTGTTCTATGACCACTTGCTAGTGAGTATATCCTCCATTGGAGAATACAAAAATTGAATTTATGTTGTTTTGGGAGGGAGAATCAGTGCAGTGCAATGATTTAAAGCATGCAACTTTAAATTAAGGTGCCCAAATTCATTTCATGATGTGTCACTAGTCATGGGACCTTGATTATGCTCTCTGGCCTCTATGAGTCCTAGACCCTTCCTCTTTTAAGTGAAATGATAATGGTTTCTATATGACTTTGTCACTTTGACTTTGTGAGTTAAGGTGAGGTAATACTTAAAAGTACTTAAACAGAGGTACTCGATGAGTTAAATATCATTATTGTAAACACTGAAGTAGAGGCTTTATAGTTGCTATTTTATCAATTTAATGAGCTTTAATCAAAATACTATTCAGTTTAAAAGTTTAATGTTTGAACAGAAGATAGAAGTAACTGGCTACAGACATGATAGAAAACAATCTATAATATTCTGGCAATGTAGAGTGGATTTTCCTCTCACAACTGATAGTTTCCGATTCTTCTTCTTACCATAGAGCAGTTTCCATTTTTATCCAAAGCAGCCATTTGTCTCTGTCTCAAGACCTGAAAAATAGTTAAGCCTTGAGCAATGCAAGGTTAGTTAGCAATGCCTACCTCCACATAGTCAAAAATCGACGTGTAACTTTTGACTCTTAGAACTTAGCTAAAGACTGCCCTGTGCACCCACCAATTCAGACAACCGAGGTTTGAAATCAGTATTTTTTATACACAGGTCAGACTCCATGGTTGGTGATTTGTGGTTGGAAATGTGAAAATACTCTTTTCAACCAGCAGGAAAAAATGTACAAGTGGGGACCCATAGTTTCTCTTGAGTGTACAGCTCAATGAAATTTTACAAAGTTAACACATCTGTGTAAAAACCACTTGGAAGCAGAGAGAGCACTATCTCTGAGAAGCCTCCTTTGTGTCTCCTGCGTGGTGCGTGCTCTCCAAAGGTAAGTAATATTTCAAGTTTTTACCTAAAATTAGTTTGGCCTGGTTTTGATCGTTATAGAAATGGAATCATGCAGTGGACAATTGTATTGTTTGGCTTCCTTTGTGTCTTGTTCTTTTACTCAGTATTCATCCGTGTTGTATATAGCAGTGATTTGTTCTGTTTCTTTGATGAACATACCATAGCTTATTTACCCATTCTGTTGTTCAGTGTTAGAGTTGTTCCCAGTTTAGGACTGTAAAATAATGCTGCTAAGAACATTCATATAACATGTTTTTCTGTACATATAGAGGGTGGGGCAAAAGTCGATTTACAGCTGTATGTGAACCAGAGTTTATTCTTGTATTATTATTTATTAATTATTATTTTTCACAGGAACAACTGAAAACCTTCTTTTGCCCCACTCCATATTTATACTTTTTTGTAAATAAAATTTTATTGAAATACAAGAATGCTTATTCATTTATATATTGTTTTTATTATTTTTTCTTTTGAATATTTTTATTGTTGTTCAAGTACAGTTGTCTCCATTTTCCCTCCACCACTCCCCCCAACCCCAGCCATTCCCCACTTCCCTCCCCTGCTTTCACCCCACCCTTGGTTGTTTCATGTGTCCTTTCTACATGTTCTTCACAACCCCTCCGCCTCTCCCCCCCATTATCCCTTCCCATGTCCTCACTGGTTACTGTCAGTTTGCTCTTTATTTCAATGTCGCAGGTTATGTTTTGCTTGCCTGCTTGTTTTGTTGATTTGGTTCCACTTATAGGTGAGATTAGTTTAGAATTTCCTCAGAAAACTAAAAGTGAAACTGTCTTTTGACCAGGCAATTCCACAGCTGGGATTATATCCTAAGACTCCTGAAACACCAATCCTAAAGAACCTATGCACCCCAAAGTTCATAGCAGCACAATTTACGATAGCCAAGTGCTGGAAGAAACCTAAGTGCCCAGCAGTAAATGAGTGGGTCAAAAAACTATGGTACATTTACACAATGGAATTCTACACAGCAGAAAGAAGGAAGGAGCTCCTACCCTTTGTGACAGCATGGATGGAACTGGAGAGCATTATGCTAAGTGAAATAAGTCAGGTGGTGAAAGACAAACTTTTTTAAAGCTAGCTTTTATCTGGGAGTAGCACTCTAGGATCTAAAATCCAAGATCCTAGGATTTGTTGATTTGTAGCAATGTTTTTTTAAGTGTGGGCACCATGTT